CATTAGTTTTTAGGTTTTATTTTCACCTGGTGATCCAGCCATGGGAGTCTGTTATTTTCAACTTCCTCTAATAGATCAAGCTGTGCAGCAAAAGTGGCAGTTACAAGTTTGAGACAATTCAACACTACATACAAAAAAAAGGGTTTTTTTCCCCAAAAGGAAAAAAAAATTTGCTGTAACTGCCTAAAAAGTATCAGCCGGAGCTTAGCTGTAGTTGACAATGCTGATGTCCCATGATGGCTCAGTTGCTCCTCCATCCAGAGTGGATACATCCTAAAGCCCTGTGTGTGTCCAGCTGTCTGTTCTATGGAAGTCAGTCTCACGACCAGCTTCTGTCGAATGGGCATGCTGGAAAACCAGCATCGAACCCGCATCTAATTAGTGCTGGCAGCCAATGGGTGTCAGCACTGATCAGTGCGTTATGGCGGGCAAGGGGGGGGGGGGGGAGTCCCTAGGTCAGAACACAAAGACACAGCAGGAGAGAAAGCCACACTAACATTGCTTGTGTTAGTATGCCTCTTTGTTTTTTCGTTGTTCAGCCCGCTGAGTTGAACAAAAAAGACTTCTAGTATGTACCAAGTTTAAGACAGGAAGTGGCTGTATCATCAGGTAAAAAAAAATAAAAAAAATAAAAAGCCTACAAAAAGAACACTAATGCAGATACCACATTTAATGAATAATTCCAGGCATCGTCATTTTTTACATTGGACATGGACTCCAACTTAGTCCATTGAACTATGTATGTACCATACCTGGTTGATGCCCCTGGAAGCTGGAAATCATTGAAGTAGACACCACTACTCCAGTGACCCTGACTTGCTTCTAGGTCCCAAGCAGAGAAGCCGGCCTGATGGATTGTGAATACAGGAGGGTCTACCAGTTGGCACGGACACCATTCAGAGAATGCTTTGCATTTTCTGATCAAGTGTAAAGTGTTTCCCAGACTGGACAAGGTGGAGAATGTGACTTCACCAACCCACCTCTCCACCTCGTCAAATCAGAGAATGTTTTGCATTCACTCACATATTGCAAAGTATTCTCTGAATGGCACCCGTGCTGAGCTGACCCCGTGTTCACAATGCAGGCTAGTCGCTCAGCATGGGACCCGGAAGCACTGGAGTAGCGGTGTCTACTTCAATGATTTCCTGCTTCCAGGGACATGGGCCAGGTATAGTAGTATACACAAATAAAAATATATCCTGCCCAGAATTCTTTAAAAAATGGCAGTCTGCAAAATGTTACATTTTTATTTTTGGGTTTAAATGCTCATCAAAATATTTTCCAAACTATGTCCCCAATTATTTACATTTTGTAATAATAGCAGCATATCTGTCTGTATTTTTCAGCATTGCTTCCCCAAACTTCCATTTGGGAAGCATAAAATCACATGACCAACAAAGCACTCTATTACCTTGTTTATGATAAAGCGCTGTCTCGAGAACTGCTGTCAATCAACTCTCTTGGGGGAGGAGTGGGGGAACGACTTGAAGTCCTGGAATATGCAGCTGGCCGTTTCTTGCGCTGTGATATGCGGTTTTCCCTATGGGTGGGGCGAAGCGCATCAGAAGGCGTGGCTGCAGTAACGGCTGAGGTCATCCACATCATAGTGTATTTACTGGACTCTTTGGGACGGGTATGAGGGGCATCCATTCTTTCCCTGCACTCTGTTTCGTTTCTGGTATGCCGGTGGGGTGATCGTGCTTTGTCCAGCTTTGAGTGGCGCAATATGTTTGCAACATCACACTATTACCTTGTTTATGATTTGCAGCAGCCCATTTCATGCGCTATGATATGCGTTTCTCCAGCTCATGGTAACACGCCCTCCAATAACAGCCTCAACTTTACTCAACATTTCATTGGCCTAAATGCTTCTAGCAAAGTATGAACAAGTGTGCATCAAAAACGTAAATCAGATGCACAGCAACAAACATGGAAAGGTGTGAACCCAGAACCCAACCCCCCATGTTACAGTTCTTCGGTCCTCAAATTGGCTCTAAGCATGTTGTAATTGGCACAAAAATTCCATTTGGGAAGTACCAAATTTATGTCATATAATGTCACAAGACCAGAAAATCACTCTATCTTATTTGTGATAAGGAAACAGGACTGTCCTAGGAATCGCTGTCAATCGATTGATCAACTTGGGTACAAACCAGCCTGTCGGGTTTCACATGCGATTATTGCTAGTGGTTATTATAGCTATTAGCAGTAATCACTGTGTTCTCCCTAATCACTGTGTCCTGTCCCTGCTGGGAGATCCCAATGGCTTCGGGGGAGGGATTCCTCATCAACATTGACTGAGTCAATCGGGGAACCAACAATTTGCTTTCCTGCAACCTGTGGTTGGAGGAAAAAAAATTGCTCCGTCAATGGCCAGCCTAACACTGCACTTGGAAAGCCTAAAGTCGGCCATAGATGGTTTGAATTTTGGCAGGTTCAGCAGGGACAGGCCAACAGTCAATCTATCTTTGGGGCAAGCTGATTGTACACAAGTTGATCCATTGATCAACATGGGTACAACCAGCATGTTGGATTCCTAGCCTGCCATTATTGCTTGTGGCTATTAGGAATAACCATTGTATTCTCCTGGCAGGGATGCTCCCCGCACCCACCCACTGGGAGAACACAATAGTCCCGTGATCAGTGTTGATGGGGGAATTAAGGGATTCTCAAAATGCATCATCTATAGCATAAACATACAACGGGTCAGAACAAGCACAGTTCTTACCCCTCTACAGTGCAGTGCTCAGGCCTTGAAGGTAGGTATGCAACCTCATTCCTTTAAAACCGAACACATATTAAAGTGTTACTAAACCCACAACAGTAAAATCAGTCTGTATATGCAGTAAAGCATGCTTGTTACATTCACTGTGGAACCTAAGGGGTTAATCCTCTGCATTGTGTAAAAAGGACATTTCAACCTGACTTCTCTGATCCTCCTCTTGTACAAATGTCCACTTCTTATCTCCTGGTAAGAGAGACTGAACCGTAGCCATTCTGCACATGCTCAGTTTAGTGTGGAGTGCTAGAGAGGTTTTTTTTTTTCTTTCATGGAAGAGTGCATGTGATCAGCACAGGCCAATCAGCACTGTCCAGACAGAGGTCAGGGTTTCTGCATCCTCCTACAGCAGAAAGAAAACCCCTCCTACAAGCTTTAACTAGTGCTCAGCTGGACACTGATAGAAGTCACAAGACTGCTCTAACTACTGATGAGAAAAGATATTTAGCAGTTTGTATTTAAAAAAAATAATTGCATTTCCATGTTGTGTGTACTGTGGGAGACCAGATATAGTGAATGCAGGGTCCTGGGTTTAGTAACACTTTAAAGTGGAGCTCCACCTAAAAGGGGAAGTTCCGTTTTAAGCCTTTGTCCCCTGCTCCCCATTAAGGATTGGCACCTTTGGGGAGTGGGGGGGTCCCAGAAGACTACGGAGCCATTCACATGCGCAGTGGGCACCTGGCTGTGAAGCTGCAAGCTGTCACAGCCAGGTGCCCACACTGAAGATGCCTGCACCAGGGAGAGAAGACGGCCGGTGAAACCAGCGGTGGTGAAGACATTGGTGGACTGAGGGACAGGTAAGTGACTGTATTTTAAAATTAGGCAGCCACAGTTTTTGTAGCTTCTGACTTTTATTTTTTATTTTTTGCAGGTGGAACTCCGCTTTAATTACATAGGTTCTGAGGCTAATTTAAAGCGGAGTTGCACTCACCGGTCAAAAAACAAGTCATCAGCTACAAAAACTGTAGCTGCTGAATTTTAAAAAACAGCCACTTACCTGTCCCTCGATCCCGTAGTGTGTCCTCCACAGCTCGTTTCAGCGGCCGTACTGTATTCCAGGAGGCCGGCATCTTCAGTGTGGGCACCCGGCTGTGATAGCTTGCGGCTTCACAGCCAGGTACCCACTGTGCATGTGTGAGTAGTGCTGTGCTTCATGAACAGTCCTGTAGTCTTCTGGGATCTGTCACGTGTCCCAAAAGACTACAGGGAGGGAGGACACCTTCCGCTTGCGATCGGACCAGAAGTGGGAGCCGGTACATGTCAAATTTGAGTACCCGCTCCCTCCCCCCACCCCCCAAAGGTGCCAATCCTTAATGGGGAGTGGGGGAGCAGTCCTTAAAGCGAAACTTCCCATTTTGGGTGGAGTGCTGCTTTAATATGGGCAGCACAGTGGCTAAATGGTTAGCACTTCCGCCTGGCACCTCTAGGTTCCTTGGTTCAAATCCCAGCCACAGCACCACCTGCCTGGAGTTTGCATGTTCTCCCTGTGCCTGCATGGGTTTCCTCTGGATACTTCAGTTTCCTCCCACACTCCAAAGACATGCTGGTAGGTTAATTGGATCCTGTCTAAATTGTCCCTAGTATGTGTATGTATGAATGTGAGTTAGGGACCTTAGATTGTACACCCCTTGAGGGTTAGGGACTGATGTGAATGTACAATATATATGTAAAGCTCTGCGTAAATTGACGGCGCTATATAAGTACCTGAAATAAATAAATATGTGTAATTATTATGTTTTTAACCACCTCCCGCCCACCATATAGTAATATGATGGACGCAAGGTGGTTCTCTCGTTCTGGGAGGACATCATATGACGTCCTCCCATTCTCACCGCGCATGCGCGGCTCAGGGAGCGTGCAGCGTGGTGATCGGCGGTGCGCTGCGTCCCTCGGACACAGCGGATCACCGATCACGGAAAGAGCAGAAGATGTCGGCTCGGTCATGTGATCAGCTGTGTCCAATCACAGCTGATCACATGTAAACAGGGAAATGCCGGTTATCTGCATTTCTCTCCTCTCCCTGATGATCAGTGTAGCTCCAGCAGCGCCACCTGTTAGTGTCCATCAGTGCCATTGTCAGTGCTCATCGGTGCCTCGTGCCAGTGCCCATCAGTGCCACATATCAGTGTGCCTACCAGTGCACATCAATGCCACAAATCAGTGCCTATCTGATCAGCCTTTCAGTGTCATCCATCAGTGCCAGTCAGTGCCACTTATCAATGCCAATCAGTGCCACCTATCAGTGCACATCAGTGCCGCCTATCAGTGCCTGTCAGTGCCGCCTAACAGTGCCAGTCAGTGCCGCCTATCAGTGCCAGTCAGTGTCGTCTATCAGTGCCACCTATCAGTGCCGCCTATCAGTGCATGTCAGTGCCGCCTAACAGTGCCAGCCAGTGCCGCCTAACAGTGCCAGTCAGTGTCGCCTAACAGTGCCAGTCAGTGCCGCCTATCAGTGCCTCCTCATCAGTGCCCATCAGTGCCACCTATCAGTGTCCACCAGTACAGCCTATCAGTGCCCATCACTGCAGCCTCATTAGCGCACATCAGTGAAGGAGAAAAATCACTTATTTACAAAATTGTATAACAAAAACTAAGAAAAAAAAATTTTCAGTGGTTTTTGGTTTGTTTAAGAAAAAATAAAAAAACCCAGAGGTGATTAAATACCACCAAAATAAAGCTCTGTCACACAAAAAATGATACAAATTTCATATGGGTAGTGTTGCATGACCGCGCAATTGCCAAAGTGTGACAGCGCTAAAAGCTGGAAATTGGCCTGGGCAGGAAGGGGGTATAAGTGCCCAGTAGGCTAGTGGTTAAAGGGATGAGGTGGCAGCCCTACTTGTAGGCCTTGTGGGAGACTGCTGATCCCCCATAGTCATAGCTGGAAGTACTAGGTTGGTCTCATGGCCTCATTGAGTAAAAGCAGAGTAGCGGAGGTAAGTACATGCTCCTTACTGTTCTTCACAGGTACAGCACAGGTCAGCATATAAATCAGCAGACCCCTAGCCAGTACAGGGTTAGGAAATGGTCCCCACTAACTATTGTCACAACCTGGACAATTATTTCGGGTTGTAGAAATGGAATATGTGGTTGTGCACAGTGCTTTATATAGGCGAGGATAAAGCCCCAGCACACACTGACACGGCAGATTCCATTCCTACCGCGTGTGCGTCCAAATTCAGCACCACGACGTCAGGACGTACAGACGTCTGCGGTGCCCTTACCGGCGGGTCATTCTCACCTGGCAGTGCTCCTGTGTTCGGGGCTCGTCCTCGCTCTCGTCATCCTCCATCAGTACCGGAGAGTGAGGGGAAGGAAGGAGGGCGGGCGCTGGTGTCACTCACCGAGGCTGCAAAGTCAGTGTGTGCCCGGCGGTGTCTGCAGTCCGCACTGTGTGCTCCTCTACATGGTGCAGACAGTGTGGAACTCCTTCTAGGAGACCAGCCCCTTCCCTCCTTGTGTGCCAGTGTTATGTAACGAGGTGCTGCAGGTGAATTGTCCTCCCTCATACTTCACCTCACAAGCTGACTACAAAGGACGGTGTCTATAATGACAATATGTACAGAGAAGTGTGCTTCTAGAAGATTCACCCCAGCCAAGAACCAACACCTTCACCCTGTCAAGGATCACTCACACTACACCTGTAAGGGGGTGACTATTCCCATCACCCTCCCAGGGGCACTTGGGCAATGCCCGAAGGCCCGGGGTCAGTAGGGGGCTCCATGAGATGCCCCTGGTTCCTTTCATAGGCTTTTTTGAGTGTGGGTGAGGACGTAGGGGCCCCATGATCCCTCATTGCCCAGGGGCCCCATAAGTTGTCAGTCTGCCCCTGCACCCTCCATACCTAGTCACCCCTTCCTAAGAGGTCATTACAGCCCGGCAGCAACCCCAGCAAGTGCAATTGTGTTCAGCTAAAGCTGGCCTTATGACCCATACACACAATAGGAAAATTGTACGGAAATGTTCATACATGGACCGATAGTCCGATAATCTTATCGTTAGTACACAGCTTTCGAGAGCCAATCACAACAATTCGTGCGACAATATCTGAAGGGACAAGCACAAAAAGTTTTCTTGTGCGATTTTCATTTAGTTCGCAACCGCGCTATAGCCGAAGGATGGCTACAGTGCGGTTGTCTAGTTCTGGGACGTCTATGGACGTAATTCCAGTTCGTGCCCCCAGCGCCACCGGTGATCACTGTGTCCTACGGACACAGCTGATCATGTGATACAGTAAACGGCGAATTACTGTGTCCTTTTACCACGTGATCAGCTGTGTCCAATGACACAGCAGATCACCAGTAAATATAGTTGCTGGTTATCGGCTGCACCTTCCTCACGCTGTCGCAGCGTGAGGAAAGTACTGCCGAAAACCAGCAATTGTCAGCGAACGGATCGGCACTGATGATCAGTGCCGCCCAGCAGTGCCACCCACCTGTGCCCAGCAGTGCCACTTATCAGTGCTGCCCAGCAGTGCCACCCATCAGTGCTTAAGAAATAGTGGTGTGAACCTCCTGCTCTAATAATCCTAAATTTAGATATTAAATCCTAAATTTATTATATTAAAGAAAAAATGGAACCTTTCAAAGATTCCCCAGAAATGGGTAATCTTGCAAAAATATTAACCACTTGCCGTCCGCCTGCTGTTATAAAAAGGCAGGACGGTGGCACTCCAGGGGCGGGTTGCTGTTCATAAACGGCACCCGCCATTTCTAGCTGTGCGCACTCCCTGGGAGCTCGCAGAACCGCGATCCGGTGTCCGCTGTGTCCAGTGACACAGTGAAACACCGATCGTCAGACGGGACCTCTGTACGAGGTCCTGATCATGTGATCACTGATTGGCCAATCAGTGATCATATGCAGAGTAGTAAGCAAGATGTCACTTGTGACATCATTGCTTACTACGTGTGAAATCTGTGAATGATCACAGAGGTCACATGGTACAAGGCTATTCACAACAGCCTTGTACCATGTGACAAGCTGTGACCAATCACAGCTCACTCAGTAGTTCTCAATGGCTGCAAGAATTCAGACAGAGAGAAAGAGAAATGATTGCTTTTACATCCTATATGGGTGTAAAAGCAATCACTGTAAAAAAAAAAAAAAATCTTCATCACCCCCCACAAGTAGTGCAGTGTCACCATGGTGACACTGTACTGCTAGGGTGACAGTATGTAAAAGAAAAAAAAATATATAAAAAAAATCAAATAGAAATGTAAACAAAATGTTTAAAAATTATAATTTTTGGTTATAAACTAATTTGACTTATTTTTTTTTTACTAAAAATATAGCGGAAAACATTTCAGCCAAGATTTATGATGAAAGATTATTTGCTAAATTTTACAAGAAAAACACTTTTTTCAAAATATTTGGACTTTTTCATTTACATAGCAAAAAAAATAAAACTCCCAGCGGTGAATAAATACCACCAAAATAAAGCTTTATCTGTCTCAAAAAAAGGTAAAAAATTCATATGGGTACAGTGTGTGACCGCGCAATTGCATTCAAAGTGTGATAGCGCTGAAAGCTGAAAATTGCCCTGGTCAGGAAGGGGGTAAAAGTGTCCGGACAGGCAGTTGTTAAATAAAGATCTAGAGAAGATAGATCAAGAAGTGAAGAATAAAAAGATGAAAAAATATCAACGAGATGTGAATGATTTTAAAAAAGATCAAGTTTTTAAGTGGCAATCGTCCAATGGGGAAATAGATTTAAATTCAGCTAACACTACACCTATTAAGTAAGTAGGAATAGAATCCACTAAAGGACCGGTAAATGATCATTCAGAACCTTATAGAAGCCACTTGAAAGGGAATCCCCAAGTGAATCACCCGCAAGGAGAAAGAGTATATCACACACCACATAATGGATGGAGGCCTAAAAATGGGGGCTCTATTCATAAGAAACCACAAGGTAGAAATAATGTGAATGGGAAGCCATTTCACCCTCCATTTAGAGCCTATTATTCTAAACCAAATCATTATTATCCACCTTATAGACCACCCTATCCTCCAAAACATGATAATTGGTCCTTTTATCCAAGAAGCCCTAGACAATATTATCAAGGGTGGCAGGGACCCAGGTTTGAAGGAAGGAGCCCTGTACCTGTATTTAACAGATGTGAACCACTAGAATACGAATACCAACAGAAAAGTTTTTTAGGGAAGGAATATATGGAAAGGTCCAAGTGAAAAAGAATAGTAGGAGAAGGTATTTTTAACAAAAAAAAAATTATTAGAAAAGTGAATATTAAAAAGCATTTCATGGGTGTAACAGGTGCAAAGAATGTTTTAGGTAGTGCTCCTAGTAGTGAGATTTCGTCACACTACCCTGCGGAACAAATCTCTATTTAATCCCAAAATGACTGGGAATAGTCACAATGAGGCATTTAAAAGGATGGTTAGTCAGGATCTAGAGACTCTCAAATTACCCAAAATACAGCCAAATGTGGCTATGCAGACTGGAATAAAAACCCTTAAGAGTAGAAAAGACATCGTTATAAGGCCGGCAGATAAAGGAGGCGGCATAGTTGTTATGTCAAAGGAATACTACCTGGAAGAATTAGGTATACAATTAGAGGATAATAGCACCTTTCAAGTATTAAGGAAGGACCCTACTTTGAAATATAAAAAGGAATTAGATAAACTTATTAAAAAAGGAATAGAGAAAAAAAGTTTAAATAAAAAAGAAGCGAGGTATTTAGTACCGGACTTATGTAGAATCCCCATCATATAGACCATTCCTAAGATACATAAGAATAAAAAAAACCCCAGGATGTCCTATAGTAAATGGGATTGGGTCTTTACTGGCCTGATTAGGACAATACGTTGATTTTTTTCTACAACCTTTAGTCAAGGAAACCAGGTCCTTTTTGAGGGACACTAAGCATCTTATACAATTGCTTGATGAATTAGAGGAGGATTGTAACAACATTATTATGGCAACTGCAGATGTATCATCCCTATAAACAATTATAGGCCATAAAGAAGGCATGGAAGCCACTGCTTGGGGAATGAGGGTGTCAGGAATGGATTCACCACTGGTGGTGGGACTTACCTGCCGTGTGGGCTGCAGTACCATGGCTGGCCAGCGGGTGCTCTCAGCAGCCAGAAGCTCACTCCTGCAATCAAGCCATCACCTGAGGCTGATTGCAGGAGGTGTATATTTAAGGAATGGCCAGGCCTGCAGTCAGTGCCTTGGTGTATTGTTCCCATGAGCCCCTGTACCTGCATCCTGTCTGCTTCCTGCCTTATCCTGACTCTGCTTGATCCTGACTCTGCTTGAACTCTGCCTGCACCGACCTCGGCTACTCCTGACCAATCTTCTGCCTACTCCTTGTACCTTGTCTGCCCGTTAGCTACCGACCCGGCCCGACTGACTACATTGTTCTCCATATTTATATATATATATATATCAGTTTAGGTTTGGGTTTGTTTCACCTTGTTGTATGTATTTGTGTTAGCTTTGGGTTTGGTTTCTTGCACTGCGTTTATGTTTGTGTTGTCCTTAATAAATTATCTTGTTTACACGCTATACCTGAAGTCTGTGTTTCCCTGTCCACACACCTCTGGTCATTCCCGGAGCCCTGACAGAGGGAATATGGGAATTTGACAAGAGCGCAGAGAAAGTATATTATTGAGTGCCTAGAATTTTGCTTGACACACAATTATTTTTGGCACAATAATTCCTTTTATAACCAGATTAAAGGTGTGGCGATGGGGGCTCGTTTCGCCCCGAGTGTGGCCAATTTGTTCATGGCACATTGGGAGAAAGAAGCTATTTATTCGAATCCCCCGCGGGAACTAATAATGTATTAAAGATACATAGATGACGTTATTATATTATGGAGCGGGAAAGAAGAGGCCTTACTGAACTTTTTAAATCACCTAAATGATAATAACAAGAACATTCGTTTTACCTGGGAACATGATCAGTAACAAATTCGTTTTTTAGATTTGAACATTAAGAAAGAAAAGGACAGAATCACCAACAGTACTTTTTTTAAAAGTGTTGATAGAAACGGATATATTCCGAGTGATAGTTGCCATTATCCATCGTGGCTACTTAACGTACCGAAAGGTCAAGCAATTAGACTCAGGAGGAATTGCTCTACACTGGAAGAGTTTAATCACCAAGTAAAGGTTTTAGGCCAGAGATTTGTGGACAAAGGATATTCTCGACCTAAGATTAAGGAGGTGATCCAGGAAATAGGGAATGTAGATAGAAACATATTTCTGAAAGATAAAGAGAAAAAGGATGATCATGTAGATAAATTAGCCATATGTTTGGATTTTA